CATGTATAGTTTTATTTATTGAGTGCTACACAGATCCACATATCTGGGGGCACAATGATTACGATTTTCAAAAATATGACAAACAAACTTCTCGATTAATCAGACTCTCATCAAAATTTAGCCAAGTTTATCCCCATCAGCCCACAGTTTCTTGAAATGTTGGAAAATTATGTTCCAAGATTTCCAAGAGTGTCGCTGCCCTTGGAAAATGACGGTAATAAATAAATGAATGGCTTCCTTTACAATAGTGTTACGAGTTCAAGATGCAGTTGCTCATTTATATTCAGCTCATACATTTTTAAGAACAATTCCAATTTTGTCATGCTTTTTTCACTTTCAGTGTCAAATTGCATTTGCATTTTGAAAGGGATTTTTACTTCAACAAGTCGCGTTTGGTGGTGTCTGGAATGGAATGGCATTAAGCTTATCGGAGGAATTTATCTTATTTATGGTCAATAATGCTGTTAGGCTGGTGGAATAAGGTGCAGTGCAGTTCGTGATGGATTTAGGTTTTTTTTAAAAAGGGGGAATCTGGAAACATTTTGGATACGAGATGAGAGATTCAACTTGAAAGTGAAGAGTTGTTTAAGTGCAATAATCTTCAAGTGGAAGGAGTCGAATAACTGTATGTGGATGGTAATTTTGCATAATGTACCCGTCCGACAGAATATTATCGTGAAATTTCTACACCTTTGGTAACAAATTATTAGCCACTTGGTAATATTCATCTTCAACTTTTTGACTAGTACAAAATTTTTCAGAGTTACATAATTTCGTTAAAAAATGAGCCACCAGAGTCATTTATTTCTGTCAATGATGAGATGATTCTTTCCTCTCAGAACAATTCCAGATATTTAAATGGCTCTTGTTTCTTTACTGTATTTAAAAAAACTTTAGTCTCCGTTTTCCATTCCTTCCTCGTGTTAAAAGACTTAACGTTTGTCCACGAAAGACGTTAAGATTGAGAGATTACTCGACCCGAAACCAATTTAAGTGCATGTTCATTTCGCATGGAATGTTATTTAGCGACTGATTTGCATCTCCCTCTGAGAAAGAAAGTTACGAGTGAAAAAATCATGGTATAGATATTTTACCAATTTTGGTAACAAAGAGAAAAATACACTAGACAAAATAAGTTCGATTATCAGACAGGAAATTGGCAATTTGCTTATGTATTTGTAAATTATATTGATGTTTTGTAAAATTATTCTACCAACGGGGTAAAAAAATCATTACATACTCTCCGGATTTTTATTTTATTTTTCGGATTAGATAACATTTTTTTAATGCAAATTTTTTGACCCGAGAAATCTAATCTACGAGTTTTATTTTTATACAGTAAATACCTATGTTATTATTAACGGCGTAAATACATCTCATGCTTTGAATCCTACTCGACATATTTCCGTTATATGTAATTTGCAAAGGTCTGTGCTCATTTTTCGGAGAATTTTTTGAAATATTACGGTGTTTTATAGATATAAACGATGTTACAAATAACTGTGTGAACTGTTATTTGGAAAAAAGGTCACAGAATTCCAATTTTACCTATTTCGATTTACGTATTATATTTTGCTACCTCATTGGGATGTGCACTATTCGGTGGTGGGAGAAGAGAGGCGACTAAAACAATGAGAAGCGTAGGTACTTTACTTGGGAAAATCATTTAGAAGCAGATGTGACACTATCGCGACTTCCAATCACGACGACGACGACGTTGCAATAACACGTCCAACTTTTAGCTTAAGATGTGCAATGTCGCTTCTTCTTCCGGGCAAAAGCCATTCCTTATTGGATGGAAGACGTGCAGATAGGATGTCATGGATTTATTGATATTTTTTCTGGTAACAAAATAATATGATTGTTTTGTTACTAAATGGTGTACAAAAGAGCTATTTAGTTTGGTGTGAAATTTGTGGCCAATTTGGCCTTCGAGGCAACCTAATATTTCAATTTAGTACTAAATTTTGAAAGGGATTTTTACTTCAACAAGTCGCATATTGTGGTCGTTGGAATGGAATGGAATTAAGCTTATCGGAGGAATTTATCTGACTTATTTATTTGATTTAGTAGAGTTGAATTTGCATATTTATATGTTCTTCAAAGAATTAATTTTTCCATCGAATAAGAAAACATGTAAAATTGCATTTTATTTTATAAACGTTTCACAATTTTCTATTTTTCTGATTTCTGACATGCCATTGAATTCGTCATGTGCTAAGGTTCTTAAGTAGCATCTGGATAATGGATGACCAGCTTTATGAACGGCCTCTATTTTAGAGGAAATACGAAATGATGTAATTTCTGGGACAAAATTCTGTCACGGAAAAGCGACATCAGACATGAAGAAGGAAACATCCACGTGTCCTTTGTATTTGTATCCGAAGTTCGTTGTGTTGACGGAAAAATCAGAAAAACAATAACATCGTAACATATTCGTTACGAGGTGATATTACGATTTAGCTGATCCTATTAATGGAAAAATGATAGGATAATTGATCCACCGGGTAAACCAAAACCAAGATAATTCCGCGTTTCCAAAATTAGGGCTGTAGATAAGAAATTACGGATTTTACGTGCCCACAAGATTTATAAATGTCATAATTTACATGTCATAATATAAGATTGTAGTAATCTTGCTGTTTTGTGTAAATTATTTTTTTTCATTTACTCCGAAATATGAAGACGCCCCTAATCCGCGTAAACTTATAAGATTTTGTATGCGTCGAATTTCCCTTTACATTTTAATGTATATTTTAATTACTTTGACGCATATTTAGCATAATTGTGAATGGAAATCTTTATGATCAAGGTTCTTATTGTATATCTGAATTCAATGAGATAGACATATCATCTAAATTATATGTCGCAGTTAATACAACAAATATTTTTATAGGCATAGTGACGTGAAAATATCACAAGGTATAAATTGTTTTCTTCTTCGGATATATATTTTTTAATATGTACTCAGGATCCGTGAAGTTTCAACTTTATTCATAACCCGAGTTTGCCTCGTAATTTTTTCCGATTTAATTTTAGTATGTAATTTTTTGTCAGATAAACCTTGAACAGTTTGCTGGGGTATGTGACCATTATACAAGGCATCCTTATTTTGCTAAACGTGTTAAACACGTGGTTACATCATCCTTACGCAACAACGTAATCGAAAAACATGTCAGAATTGGACAACAAAGAAATATCTGGGGAAAAACTTGCAAATAAATAATTAAAATCGGACATAATAATTACGCAGAAAATGCCAAATTTCCTAAAATTCAACACGGCCGGGATAAATAAATTATTAGAAATGAAGTAACATAACGCAAACATCGGAAACATTATGTATTTGGTTTTGGTCCTTTGGTTGTTGTGGTTTTTGGCCTGACAGAAGAAATGATTAATCGTTGAAGCGTTTGTGCGACATCATTGCGTCGCATCTCATGAAGTTGCACTTTAACAAAGTCTCTTGGATATGTATGGATTATTGCACATTAAAAAATTTGGGAATATTTTAAGTCTGAGGGTACAAAACTGTATGTCAAGTGGACAAATTTTGGTAATAAGTTTGTAACAAAAAGTGTAGTCAATTTGATACGAAAATGTAACCTAGTGAAAGCACTGCAAAAGCAACAAGTCCCAAAATATGGCTAATTGCGGAAGTAAAAACTTCTACTTACAATGCGATGGTGTGAAGTGTAACCCTCCGATTTGGCTGAAATTTTGAAATTACGTGATCCCAGTCAATACAACTAACGTTTCTTCAGCCAGTTTGTGCGATGGTTGGAGTTACTCAAAATATTTGAGGTCAAAGTTGAAAAAACAGCCGACCTTTTTCAGGCGCAGTGAGAAAACTCCACTTCTATTCTCTTCCGCTCGCATTGATTTTATTCAGGTTTCACTCACACAGTCAAACATACGCCTTCATACACAAGCATAGGCAGTGATGCAAAATAACCAATATAAAACATTATTAATTTCGGCTTATATAAGAATTAACATGCCTCATACTCGCTTAATTTAATTCATAACTGAATAAGTGAGATTTTTACTTGTTTGGATTAAAAATTCATACAAACATTAATTTATAAATTCATTAGCGGCAAATAAACATGGAAAAACTGAACTTGCTTTCCATTTCGAAACCGTTGGTTATTCTGATTTCCAATTCATTTGAAAACAAAGACCAAGACCCATGTGCAATGAATAATTAATGTTTTTCTATAATAAATTAAATTTAAAATTGATGAAATGGATTATTTTTCGGAGCGAAAATCAATGCGAGCGGAAGAGAATAGAAGTGGAGTTTTCTCACTGCGCCTGAAAAAGGTCGGCTGTTTTTTCAACTTTGACCTCAAATATTTTGAGTAACTCCAACCATCGCACAAACTGGCTGAAGAAACGTTAGTTGTATTGACTTGGACCACCTAATTTCAAAATTTCAGCCAAATCGGAGGGTTACACTTCACACCATCGCATTGTTAATCGAAATTCAACAAGTCTTGTCGTTTGAAATATAACTAATTAATGTCGCTGCTGGTAAAAATTTTCATTTGTGCATTTCGCTAATAAAAAATGTCAACAGACTGGAAGCCTTGTAGGTAAAAATGTGTTGCAGAGTTTCTAAGAGTGGATTAGGAATCATGGGATTTGCTCCGTGTCGTCTCAGCATGGCGTTGGTTGTTTTAATGTAAATGTAAATAAGCTCTGAACTAGCAAAGTAAGCAAACACGAAAGAAGCAGTGAGATAATCTTCACAAGGACGGAAATCCAACAAATTATAAAATACCTAATAAATTTTGCAATCACATCGTTGAACACGCTTCACGAAAACTTTTTGCACTGATTATTTGTAAATTTCACTATCTGGCGAATTTTGGACTCGGTTAAATGCGATATTTCTGCAATAATTAATACAATTAGTACAATTGTATTTATGAAAAAACATGGCATGCAAAAATTCACAAATAAACATAAATTTCCGGTACGTCAATAACTTGATGCGTGGACTTTTATTTAAATAAAGTAGATGATCCACTATCAACTGATCGTTCCAGATTTATTTTCCTGTTAGCTTGTATTCTAATAATTTGAAAAACTGTGCTTAACTTAAGGAATGTTTTGTCACATAATTTTTGACAATTCTACAACGTAGAATTAAATGTGTAAGTTCTTTACGTAAATAAGTTATAATTTAAATGTGGCATTTGATCATTTTAAGCCTTTATTTAATGTTCCAATTGTCCTGTTTTTTTCGTAAGTTCGATGCCACAACGAAAATAATGGATGTTTGAAATATTAAAAAGTAAGTACAGATGCAATACAATTTTGCGTATAATTCTTCTTTACAGATCAAGCTTTTACTAAATTATTTCCCAAATTTTCTTTAGAGCCATAACTATTTGCAAAAACACTTTATACTATTTAAGGTAAGTCAGGGACCAATTTCTACTATTTTTTCGTTATGAAAAATCTCTTTATTTCTGAAGTCTTAATTCCCATTTAAAGTTTGCTGTCTTTGGCGTGGCATTTCGTTTGCGCAAGATGAGACGGATGATGGGGCCAAGAAAGTGCAATAAATTAGTCAAAACACACCCGGAAAAATAAATAACTGGTAAATTCTTCAGTTTCAGCCTCACCGAGTCCTCCGGGTTCAAATTCATTCGGGGAAAAAATAAATGTAACTTGCTCTGCGGTTCTGGATTCCCGGATATTTTGCTACTTGATTTTTTAAAGGCAGCGTTTATTTTGCTAGCCTCGTTGTTTAAGCCTCGCTAAACTCACGCAATAATAAATTCCCAAGTCGAAGGAGAAACAATTCTAGGAGATTTTTCTGGGGGAAGACTCTTAAACGGGGAACTCACGTCAAGATTTGGAAAAATTTGGGGAAAAATACTGGAATTGAGGGACAATTAATTAGTTATTGATTTTGTCTGCATCAAGAAAAAATGGTGTTTAATAATGAGGAATATGAATAAATAATTTCAAAGTTTTTGAACTTTTAGCAGGATTTTAACGCCGTTAAAAGTACTTTAGTTATTAACGAATACAATTTAGAAACAAGATTTCCAAGGTCCAAAAATTGGTCAAAATCTGATACTGTCGTTGGGTGCTATGTAAATGAAAACTGGCAAATAAACAAATCAGAGAACCAAATAAAATAAAAATGTGTGCAATCTAATTTTAAACCACGAAATTTGTCCCGCATAAAACAGACATTTTGCAAATGACGACCGTTTACTGAACCAAGCCAACCTTTTGCCAATCACGGATCACTTAATCCGAATAATACTCTTCCTCTGAAGTTTAAATCATGGGTACAAATTCCTGCAGAGTAGAATTCAGTAGAACCATCGCTGGAAGGAGGAAATAGGTTGCCTCATTTGCTTAAATTAGTGATTTAAACATCCTCCGACACGCACAATTAATTTGGAGGCAGAAACAATTTGTAATATTTTTTGGAACAAAAAGTTCTACTGTCAAAATTTTAAAAAATTACGGATTGATATCAAATGAAAAGTCTAATAAGAAATAACGCCGTCGGTTTTCGAGATGAATCGTAAACTTACAAGTTGTTCGACACGGGAAGGAAGGTGTAAAAAATGGACGGATTTTGAGATAAAAAGAAGATAAATAATGTTACACGTCGACAATTCTGGGAGTGAGAAGGGTAGGATTTTAATGCTTTAAAGTCTTCGTTAATATGCACACGGTTTTCAGGAGGGGAATATTTACATGGTTGAATTTGAGCTTCTGGGGGAAAAAAGTCGACATATTTTAGTCTTGGACGGAGACACGCATTCATCAGCGGACCGAATAACCTCGCAATAAATCGAATCCGCATCTCTCAAATTTATCTCCGTCGTAGGAACAACAAGAAAAAAAATGGTACAACATTTCCCACAAAAAGCAGACCTGAGTTGGAAATGGAAAGGTGAGTCGTTTGACCTTTGACTAGGATTTAGTTCCTCCAAGGAATATGTAAATTTGTGTTTAAGTGTTGATAAAATTGGTGGAAAAATTTGAAAAAATATGTTATACGCATACACAAGAATTTAAGTTGAGTAAATTACCAAACGGAAGGAAACATGTTTTTGAATTAGTTTTTTAAAAATAGATGAAATTCATCGAATTTGAGTTGGGTTTCACGCCGTTAAGAAAAGTTACATGTTGTTTCAAATACTTAAACTAGATGAAACCGTAACCTTATTGGTCGAGGGTTTAATTAAATTAAAATTAAAATTGAGAAATTCCAAAATTTCTCTGAGTCGTTAATTAATCTATTTAAATATATTAATTGCAAACTATGTACACGTTTACCCAACTAACTTCAACGGACGGATTTTTTTATCTAATAATTCTTATCTTCCATATTTTGATATTTTTTGTCAAATGGTGGATAAATCTGACAAAAAATCTGTAGGTACCTAATTAAATTTTAATAATTCAGTGCTTTTTGTGTATTCAAATATTATCCATTTAACTTGTGTTTGAATAATGTAAATAACGAAAATCATTTTGGACTCTAATTTTGAAAAGTGAGAAATTTTGATTAAAACGATTTTTATGAACTAGTCTGATTTAAGATTAATTTTTATGTGAAAATTACGCAAAGGAGAAAAGTGGATTATTATTATTATTGGTATATGTACTCAAATGGTGGATAAATTTGATGGTCAAAACGCTGTCTGTAAAATTTTGATAGGGCAACGACTAAATAGTAAAAATAATTTTTGACACAATGAATATTTTTTCGATGGCAACTGGTGATGAACAAATTGATTGAACAATTGTATCAGAAATTAAAATTTTTCAATGATAAATTGTCCCCGCGCGGTATCAGAAACTATTTTTTCCTCACAAGGTATCAAATCTTGTATTCATGGAAAGTTTTGTATTCTTTCGATTATAAATTTTTACGGTGTTATGGTCGTCCCATTTTTGCCACCGTGTTATTTACAGTTCACCTGCCTACATAAAAAATGTGACACTCTCCAAGCACAACCCGTTCCAGTAAAATTCACGAAAGGACATGTTCACTATAAAATGATGCCAATTTGCATCTGATGCGAAAGCTACGTGACACTTTAGTCATCTCTCGAACGTGTAACGAGTTTGTCATTTTGTTGCAGGGACAATTTTGCTCCGAAAATATTCGCCCTTTTATTTTAGCGAGGAATGAAGAAGTAGTTTGGATTGGATACGTGAAGTAAAGGGCAAACCGCAAAAACCGCATGTGTACTTTGGCTTTTTGTGCTAAAATGTTGTTTTGCATTTACATACTCTGCCTGCCTAAAATGCCGCCAGGTTTGGGATCGTGAATTTGAGTCTGATCGAGAAAATCCGTCATAAGACGTCATTTACATAATATCCGAAATCAAAATAAAGTTGGAGGTTTATCTGGAGTGAGGTGAAAAGTAAGTAGGGTTAAAAAACCCATGCGTCAAAATCCAAAATTTGATTATGCACACTCTGAAATGCAATTTTATGTAGGATTTTATGTTGGTACTTGTAAATAGTACCAAACTGGTGACAAAAATATCCATAATTCAGTACTAAAATTTTGCTAAATTTGTAAACCGTTATATTCTTACCAAAAAATATTACCATCCCGGTAATAAATTCAGTCTGTAACAAAAATTTATTGTAAACTTTCTCTGACTTCATCTGTCGCATTGTAACTCCTTTTATGGCCACCACGCAAGAAGAACTACCACGTTTCATTTTTTATAAACTGAATCCGTCATTCCATTCCAATCTACAAATTGCATCTTGATGTTTATTTATAGAAACAATGATGCTCATACTAGACGTACCTTTGTGTCCGCCTCGTCAATTCGTCATGGTCATCCGTCTCGTCAGTACTGACAACGGGTCGGCAAGAAGTCTGCAAGTAAAATAAATCAATTCATCAAAACCTTGTGACAATATGTCGCATTGTTTTCGCTTTATAAAGATGTTATTCATCAAGTCAATTAAGACGGTGATTTGAAATTATTCGCGTCACGTGACAGTTTTTTGTCAGGATGGAATTAAGGAGTTGTAAATATCGGAATGAACTTGACCCCTGGTGGATTGGGGTTCAGATGCATTTAGATAATATTTACACGTCGGAGAAGGATATAAAATACCAGATTTTTGCATTTTATTTGATAACATTAAACATACAGACGTATTTATTTGCGTAAAAATATTTCTGGAAGTATCGTGGCCAACCTGTTCGTGCACTAGATTTGCAGAAATTTCTGTATTTGTAAAATAGGCACTGAGGTCTGTGATTTTATTGGCCTTTTTGCACTTCTTCGCATAATAGAACAGTACTAAAATTCCCGATTGGTTACGCTAAGTGAGAATTACATTCACCCATGACACCAAATCGAAAGATTAAAAACTGCTCAATTAGTTACACTTAAACCCCCACAAAAAAATCAAATTTTGTCTAAATTTTGATAAATATTGTCCTTTCTTTCGTTCCAGGATTTCAAATATCCTGAGCTTAATTATCCCAATATTTTACACTTTTCAGAAAACCTCTTAGAAAGGCATGTTTTTCTAGAAATTTTAATTTCGAACCGAAATAAGGATCGGAGTTGAACATGATACTGAAAAAAACTATATCCTACAAGTAGAAAGGTATGAAATCTCAGCTTTTTTTGCATTTAACATTGTCTTAAACGTTGAAGCTAACCTTTAAACATTGCTTTGTCTTGCAGAAAATTCTATAGTTTCAACAACGGCGTTAGAAGTTGTAAATATGCATCAAATATTGAGTCTGAAAGCTTTTTTGTTTTTTTGCACACTTGGATAATAGTAAAATTCTCAAATTTTTGAGCAGCTCAATGCAACAATTCATCAATATTTTCACTTTCCTGAATACTTACTGAGAGTGGACTTGTTTTTCAAGAAATCAAAACTAAGAACACAAATTTAGGTTGATAAACTGTGAAAAGTGTACTTTCAAGAATCAAGTTGTAGCGAAAACGTTCTCATCATTTCAAAATATTGCCAAGCACAATTCTACAAATATCTCACCAACTCGTTGCAGTTATTAGTAAAGAATTATCAATTGAATAGAATAGTATTTACTTTTAAATTTTATTCCAAATTTTATGTAGGTTTACTCAATTATAAAAAAGTGCAACGTAAATTAAATTTGGATAAGTATAACGCCAGAGAAAAAATTGGATTGCATATGAAATTGTAAAAGCATTTCTCAGATCCTTCCTGTCCTGCCAGTATGTTACAAATTTCCAAAATTGTCTTGAAAAACTTTTTACAAAATTTTGGATGAATCGGTTTGATTTTACACAAAATTTGGAAAAATTCATCAGATTATGTAACATTTGCGAAGTAACTACAACATTGCACTTGATATGCCTCACAGAACTAGAAACTTTGCGAGGGTGCAAAAAAACGGTAATATTACGACACCGTCAAGTCAATGCCAATGTCAAAATTTTTCTCGTTTTTTTCCACGACGACGACACTCCACTCCACTTGAGACGAGTCATTTCGATTTCGGTTTTTGCCAGCCTCCTGCAATTTCCGAAACCATTCACAAGACAGAAATAACCCGAACTTGGCTTGGAGGTCGGCTAGCTTGGAAAAAATGGCTGGAGAAATGACGGCGCGGTGTTATTCGGTATGTAGACTTGGAAAATATTGCGTAAAAATTGGCGTAACTTGGGATAAAAAACTATAACGAATTGAAGAATAATTTTGATAAAGATGTAAAATTTGGGGAAAATTTTGAAGCTTATCTGCCAGGATAGGCTTCAAAAATTAAAATGGAAGAGTTTCTTGTCTAGAGAATTTATGCCAAGATTTCTGAAAATATTTATTCGGTTTGGAGATGCTGGAATCTAATTTATATAATTAATAGTTGTATGAAAATTTTAATCTCGAGTAACGACGTGGAAATGTCACATATTCTAAATTGTTTTATTCCCTGAGTAAATTTCAGTCAAGTTTACAACATATTTTGATTGATATTGCGAATTTTGAGATCTTGATATTCTGATTCAAGCAGGTTATCAGGTAATAAGAAGACTAGGCATCTAGTTTTATACAATAAATATTATATGAAACATTTTGCTCGCGACTAGTGACGTGCAAATGTCACATGTTGTAAATTGCTTTATTTCCTGGCCATGTTTAGTTCAAGTTTACGACATATTTTTAATTCGAAGTTCTAATCAGTGTCCGATTAGAATTTTGTGTAAAGTGATGGAGACGCTTGAAAATAAATAAATTCAATAATTATTTGGATTACACAAATTTACAACATCGGAGCGGATTACAGGATTATTTTTGAAAATAACACACTTTACAAAATAAATTTGACATGACCCGCAATTTTCTGGAAGCAAAGGATTTTGCGAAATATTTCATTTTGCAAAATTTTCGCAACATTCTCCATTTTGCAACGTTGTCTAATTCCTACCGTGTGAAGCAAAATAATTAACACTGGCTTCATTTATGTAGTTCCGCACTTTCTTGAAGGTATTTTTTTATAGATGTTGTGCTGGGCATGAAGTATGTGGAAAATTCATGTATGATTAATTTGTTAATTAATTTCGCGGTTTTGCTAAACCAAAATAAAGTTTAATGCGCTGGTTTGGTCCACTTTTGGAGAACGGCGTTAATATTCATATCTCTCGAAGATAAAAAAACTCGAATGTAACATAGGAACATATGTAACATAACATAACTCCGTTACCAAGCAGGTAGAAAATCATTACCAAAACTGATAAAAACTATCATCTCACCAGTAACTAATTATTATCATACTGGTAAAAAACATTACCAAACAGAATCTTTCAAATTCATTCTCACCAAATTATTTAGGGTGCCGTACCCACACATGAGAAATTTTCTGCTCTACATTCACAGAAAATATCGATCCGCCTTCATCTCATTTGTTTGGATTAGTTTAGTCCACTTTGGACGACGGGATGGATCAGCTATCAGCCGAACGATCTAACCAGACAGTCACCGAGATGGCTTTGTCCCATTCATCCCCAACAATGCAACTTGTTCCGCATACTTCCTCTTCTCAGTCGGGATGCATACATAAATATTCACGAAAAATTAGAAAAGTTCCGAACAAAAGTTACATTTCTCAACTTTTTTTTCTCTGCTACTTTGACAAACAGAACTATTGACAGGGTTGGATGCGTAAAATATAAATTGTGTCCAAGAATTCGAGAATAGATTCCGATTTATTCAGTGTTTCATAAAAAATTAAAAGGAACATTTGTTTTTAAAAAAGTTGAATAAGTTTAATTCCGAATGTGTTAGTTTGATAATTTACACAAATTGATTGAGCAATAGATTGAATTGTTCGAATTTTCAATAATTACAATTGAACATAGATTTTGGATTGCATGTATGTTTGAATTCATTTACTTATCTTTTTTGTGTTTATCGTATATTTTTCAATTTAGGAAACAAAATTTAGAAAATTTGGCAAATTTAAATTTAAGACAATTTGTCTTATAATTTTAATGTTTTTAAACGCTTTGGATAAAAGTCTACAAAATACTGGATCGAAGTACATACGAAAAGGTATGTTTCGAATCTACACCATTTTAAACCTGATAACAAAAAGCATCATATTTATGATTGATCAACAAACGAACTTTACGACAATTCAAAGAAACAAAAACGACCATTTTATTTTGGACTTCATAACAAAAAAAAACTCGATAAATCTACCATACAGATCTCCGCTTGATAATCATGTTAAATTCGAAATTATTGAAAGTTTTTGGTATGTATAAACGTGCTAAAAACAGATATCACATCCCGTCTGCTAGTTCCCCCTCTTCCTAAAATAAAATAGGAATGGATGAAAAGATGGATAGGGAGAGAAAGTGGAGGAAAAATCAGACAAAGTTTTGCGTATTGTTCCCAACCAAGATCGGAAAACTTGGTTGGTTATGAAGGAAAAAAAGTTGTCTTACGAAATCCCAAGGAAGGAAACTTTTCAAACAAAGAAAGCCAAAAGCTATGGAGGAGAGAGAGAGAGATCAAGAGTTGAAGAATTATGACTGCGCCAAGATTGCCCGACCAGAAATTACGGAATAGACGAAAATTCCGATGGTACATATAAAAATTTATGATCCACAAATTTCAAATTTATCCACATCGTATCACAATTGAATTCTTGAAGTGATGTGGGGTAGTAATGTTGTTTTTTAATAAAATCAAACTTGGTAGGGAAAATGGTAGGAAATGTTTAGTGGTAATTTTTGATAGTTAAGAGAATGTAAATGACCGTTGGGTTTGTTAAACAAGAAGGCAATTATTACGTTAAAAGAGATAACTGATTTTTATTTATTTTACAAATGCAAAATAAATACAAATTTTGCGATATTTTTTTACTGGTAGTTCAATGATGATGGTTTTTATGTACGAAATGATACGTAAACGTATTGGACGTTTTTAAGTAAGACCTGGGGCAGTTCCAAACAATTTATCTGGAAAATTTAAAATTAGAACCTAAATTTATTTATTTATTTCTTGATGTTAAAGTGTCACAAATTTCAATTTCGAAAATTTTTCAATAGATATTTTACAAATCTGGTCATAATATTAGCACATTTTTACTTGTACGGGAATACAAATTTAGGTATTCTGCATTCTCGAACCCAACAATGTTTCCTGCGAAATCTTAACGTGACATATGTTGTCTTTAATACTGTATAAAATTTATTGTAAATTGAGCAATAATTTTTTTGCACTTTTGACTGATATTTTATCAACTTCTGTAATAATTCAAGTACTCGAGAGGTTGCATAGGATTCTTTATCAAGGAAGAAATCACCATTTCCAACGTCTTTATCTTTTTGCCAACTTTTTGCAAAGTTTGCAAAAAGTGGGTAT